TCTCTTCTTCGAAGAGCTCTCCAGCCCTTCTGGTGTACCATCCAGCTGCCTGAGGGAATCCCTGAGCAAGGGGACCTGGAAGCAGCCACCGCAGTAAAGCATCCCCATGGGAGGAGCTAGTTGGGTTTGCCGCATGACTGCCTTCTCCCCTTATCTGGCCCGGGGGTGGGGTTGTTGGGTTGGTGACTGCCTTCAGGCCTTACACTGGGCTAGCTCCTTCCCGGTTTCTCAGATTGTCCTCTATCAGGAGACAATGAGGCTGAGTGATCCTCCTTCCAAGATCCTGCCTGCAGCCTTCTCACATCATCTTCCACCTGACACTGACCACTTCCTGCTGATCAGGCTCCATCATATCCATCATAGGGCTGTCCTGACCCCATGCCAAGCCTCCTGTTTGGGGATTGGTCAGGGTACCTCAGACATGCAGGTTAGAACCTCCTCACCCCCACCCACTGCCTTCTAGAAACTTTCCAAGTCTCTAGAGCAGAGGGAGGTATCAGAGAACTGATCTGGGGAGCACTGACCCAAGGTGACCTGGCTGATTTATACCCAGGCTGACTCATGCCCAGGCTGCTATTCAGCCTCTGCCTAAAACCCTAGTCTAGCTCCCCCTGGCTAACTAGAGGGGTGCTACATTAACCTAGAACTAAAGGCAAAAGTTTCCTCTTTTTTCCTTTTGGATAGAGTAAGGGAGGGTTATAACCCATTGGGAAGTGAGAGGAAATCAACCCAAAATGAGGGATTCCCAGGCTCAGCAGAACCTGATTCCCCATTGAATGATTTCCCCTCTATTCCCGTTCTGAGGACAACTCAAATTAAAAGAAAAAATGATGAAGACACAGAAATATGGTTGTATCCTTGGCATATCCCATATTAATCCACAGTTACATCAACTACAGGTTTATGGCACCTCACTAAAGTTGCATATATGATCCCCCAGGTAACCTATCTGTAACATTTGTATCTAGTGCAGACAGGCTGGTTGTTGGGGTCTTACAAGGGGGATGCCAAAGAAGGCCTCAGCTTTTGTATCAATAGGCTTGTCCTCCTTTGTCAGACCAGAGATCACCCTAACGGTAATGAAGGAGAAAGAAAAGAGAAAAAAAAGGAGTAACAGTAGTGAAGAGAAAAATAAAGTAGATAAATGAAAAAGGGGGTCAACCCCTCCCGGGCCTCATGAGTCTTGTGAAGAATATTGGATCCTTGGGGCCTGCATTTTATCGAATTTCTTCTGTGCATTGTGTAACACAATCGCCAGTTTGGTATTAATCATGATCCAGTTGAGTTTCTGCTTAACAGATCCAAAGGTCACCCTTTTCCCATTTTTCACTATGGGGCAGCCAATAAGAGGTTTGGTCTCTATGGTATTTATGAATTTCCTCATTAACTTTGAGAAACAAAACTGTTTCTGGTATTTTGGGAAGATCCAATCTAGTTATAGAATAGAGCAAGTGGAACATCCTAATCCAAAACCTGCTTATGTTAGGGCATTGCCACCAAATAAGGAACATTATGCCCATCTGGCCACAACCCTCTGAAAAATTGAGGCCAAGTCTGGGGATGTGCTTTTGGCATTCTGACTGGAACCATGTACCATCTCAATAGCATGTTCTATTAAAGATGTAGCGGTGGATACCTGTTATCTGCTATTTCTTGCCATTCTTGGAGCTCTATGGTCTTCCCAAGATCCAGCTCCCACTGCACCATACAACGTAATTTGTAGGTAGGTTTGGTGAGCATAGTGGAAAAAACCCTTTTCAATGTTTCTTTGACTATGCAAGTCAATTCAGCTCACAGTCAAGAGTTGCTTGCCTGTCCTTAAAGTTACTTTGAAAGGAGGAAGGTTTTTCATAGATAGTAGTGATTGGTGACATTTGAGGCCCCTTTCACATGGGCTGGATCAGTTTTTTCTCTGTCCGCTGATCCCCCTGCTGAGCAAAGCAGCCGGATGACAGGTCCACATTCGCTCTGCTTATCCAGAGGAACATAGACACAGCCTGCTATACTCTATGGGCAGCCAGATGGAAATGAACCAGCTGTCCATTTACGCCCAACTGCCCTCCATTCAATCCAGTCAGACGGAGGAGAATAGATCCCCCTTCCATTTGTTTTTGTCGGATCAGATTGTAGGTATCCGGGTGTAAATGGACACCAGTCTGTTTACATCTGACTGCTCATAGAGGATGAAAAATGGACAGCCGGGTACGATCAGACCTCTTGTGTGAAAGGGGTCTAAGTGGCATTGTTCTGTATTGGAAAAGGCTTTTTGTAGCTTATCTAAGCTACTTCTTCAATGCTAATGAAAAAAAACAACAAAAGGATCTTTAACAAACATCTCATGCCTGTGTCCTTATAAAGCCCAGCAATACATTGAGATAGAAGCCTGTACATCCTAAAGACCCTAAACACAAAATCACAAGCAAAGACCCAACATCTAAACACAAGCAAACACCCAACATCTAAACACAAGGAAAGACCCAACAGCAAGAAAAGACCCAACACCCAAACACAAGTATAGTCCCATCACTCAAACACCAGCAAAGACCCAACGCCCAAACACAAGCAAAGACCCAAAGCCCAAACATAAGCACAGTCCCATCACCCCCATCACCCAACAACAAGTCCCATCAAAAGACAAGCAAAGACCAACACCCAAACACAAGCACAGTCCCATCACCCAAACACAAGTGCAGATCCAACACGCAAACACATGAAATACCCCAAACACAAGCAAAGACCAAACACCTAAACACAGGCAATGTCCTACACCCAAACACCTAAACACAGGCAAATGTCCAACACCCATACACAAGCAAAGACACAACACACAAGCACAGTCCAACACCCAAATACAATCAAAAGCCCAACACAAAAATACAAGAAAAGACCCAACATCAAGCAAAGCCCCAACAACAAGTAAAACACCCTAACACAAGCAGAGACCCAACGCCAACAACCTAAGCAAAGACCCAACATCCAAACACAAGCAAAGACCCAACACCCACACACAAGCAAATACCCAAAACCCAAAACACAAGCAAAGACCTATCACCCAAAACACACACACAGTCCTATCACCTAACCACAAGCAAACACCCAACATCCAAACACAAGCAAAGACCAAACACCTAAACATAAGCAAATACCCCACACACAAGCAAATGTCCAACACCAAACACAAGCAAAGACCCATCAACAAGTAAAGACCCAACCCAAACACACAAGACCCAACACAAGCAAAACCCAACATCCAACACAAGCAAAGACCCAACAACAAGCAAAACCAACAAAAAAAACAACAAGCAAACCCAACAACAAGCAACCAGATCCAACATCCAACAAAAGCAAAGACCCAACAACAAGCAAAGATCCAACATCCAACAAAAGCAAAGACCCAACAAAAAACAACAACAAAGACCCAACACCCAAAAAAGCAAACCCAACATCCAACACAAGCAAAGACCCAACAACAAGCAAAGACCCAACATCCAACACAAGCAAAGACCCAACAACAAGCAAAGATCCAACATCCAACAAAGCAAAGACCCAACAACAAGCAAAGACCCAACAACAAGTAAAGACCCAACACCCAAACACCATCAAAGACCCAAACATCCAACACAAGCAAAGACCCAACAACAAGTAAAGACCCAACAACAAGAAAATACTGAACACCCAAACACAAGCAAAGGTCCAACACCCAACAACTAGCAAAGACCCAACAACAAGTAAAGACCCAACACCCAAACACAAGCAAAGACCCAACATCCAACACAAGCAAAGACCCAACAACAAGCAAAGACCCAACAACAAGTAAAGACCCAACACCCAAACTCAGGCAAAGACCCAACAACAATCAAATACCCAACATCCAAACATAAGCAAAGACCAAACACCTAAACACAAGCAAATATTCAACACCCAAACACAAGCAATGTAACCTGGTATATGCAGTGCAGCATAGTGAGAAATCCAAAGACCTGTACCTTGGGGAGACAAAACAACCTCTTGCAAAACAATTGATCAGCCAACCTAGGAGGACAAACTCTACAGGACAAAGCAGTTTTCTTACACCTTAGGAAAAGGACTTTTTTTTCTTAAGACATTGAGGTGCACATTTTAGACAGAGAGGACAGCTGGTTCAGGGCCATCTATGTCAGACTGGAACAACCATCCGGGAACAAGGGCGGGTGCTTTCATCAGAAGGTATTATCCATATAATGCTGTTTTAACATCTCTGCCCCAGCAATTTAACAGCAATTCACACCTTCAACCATGTGAATGAAAGGATTAACATCTATGTAGACTTCCTGACATCAAGGATGAGATGATGTAACTAGAACAGAGGGGTTTCAGAACATTCACAACTCCCATCATGTTCTTGGACAATCAACATCTTCCTTGACACATTTCATGGTGATTGAATGTAGGTGTTTAGGTTACCTGCCTGAATATAAATCCTAGGGCGTCTTCCTGACACTCATTAGAACTGAAGAAATGGCTTGGAGAATCTACAAAATGTCTTCAACATGACAGAACAAGTCCAGATGAATGTGACCAACCATATACCATGACCTGGGTGAATGAGCACCCTCATAAATAGTGTGGGCACAACATAGCTAGTAGCCGTTCTCCACAACTGGACTTGTTCTGTAATGTAGGAGACATTTTGAAGATTCTCAAGGCCACTTTTTCAGGTATATTCACTGTCTGGAAGATACCCCAACATTTGTAAAGGAACAGTATTTTAGGGGGTATCTTCCCAACAATCATTAGATCTGAAGAAGTGGCTTGGAGAAGCTACAAAAAGGTCTTCAAAACTGGGAAACAAGTCTTAATGATGTGATCAACTACTAGATATACCATGACCCGGATACATGAGAACCTTCACAGACATTTTTATTCAGATCTATATTTATTTTCATCCTTGTACATGTTGTCTAAATCCGTATTTTACAACCTTTTTTCTAGAGTTCAGAAGACAGTTCCCGAATCTCCATCACCTTCTTCCGACTCTTCCGTGTCATGCGCTTGGTGAAACTCTTGAGTAAAGGGGAAGGTATTCGAACACTGCTGTGGACCTTCATTAAGTCCTTCCAGGTGAGGCGGTGAGGGCACCCCGGTCACATCAAACCCGACTTTGAAATCGTGCGACTGTAAGTCGGGGGACATGCCGATTGCAGGTGCGATTTGCAAGACATCTGACACAGAGGTCTAGGCAAATCGCCCCCAAAAGTACTACTTTAGAAATCGGTGTGGCTCTGACCAAGTGGGATCTTGCCTGACTAAAAAAAAATTGAACTGACAATATTTTATTCTCCAGGGTCTCTGCTTACTGTACTGTGTGACATAAAAATGTAACAGCCAACATTTTATTCTCTAGAGCAGGGGTCTTCAAACTTTCTAAACAAAGGGCCAGTTCACTGTCCTTCAGACTTTAGGGGGGTCGGATTGTCACCATTTGGAGTAGTAAATACCCCAGCATCAGTGGGAGTAGGTTTCAGTCTTGATAATCAATGGGAGTAAATAAACTACATAGCACCCGTGGTCAGAAGGAGAAATAGTGCCCCATCATTGGTGTCAGAGGAATATTGCCCCATCATTGGTGTCAGTCAGAGGAATAGTGTCCCATCATTGGTATCAGTGGCAGGAATAGTGCTCCATCATTGGTATCAGTGGGAGGAATAGTGCCCCATTGGTGTCATTGGTGTCAGTGGTGGGGAATAGTGCCCCATCATTGGTTCAGTGGGTGTCAGCCCCATCATTGGTGTCAGTGGGAGGAATAGTGCCCCATCATTGGTGTCAGTGGGAGGAATAGTGCCCCATCATTGGTGTCAGTGGGAGGAATAGTGCCCCATCATTGGTATCAGTGGGAGGAATAGTGCCCCATCATTGGTATCAGTGGGAGGAATAGTGCCCCATCATTGGTGTCAGTGGTAGGTATAGTGCCCCATCATTGGTGTCAGTGGGAGGAATAGTGCCCCATCATTGGTATCAGTGGGAGGAATAGTGTGGGAGGAATAGTGCCCCATCATTGGTGTCAGTGGGAGGAATAGTGCCCCATCATTGGTGTCAGTGGGAGGAATATAGTGCCCCATCATTGGTATCAGTGGATGGCGGGAGGACAAAATTTGCCAGAACTGGGCTTTACCGTTTCTCTAATCTGCTTTATAAACATTTGTACAGAACGCCCTGCACATCTCATCGTCGTTTTCTTCGTCCTGCAGGCTTTGCCGTACGTCGCTCTCCTGATTGCGATGATATTTTTCATCTACGCCGTCATCGGCATGCAGGTGAGTCAGTCGGCATTGCGTGAGCCGCGGATCTTTTCCGCTCACATCCTCGGTGTGATTCCCGGCTCACCCCTCCGCCTTTGTTCTTCTCTACAGACGTTTGGAAAAATCGCCATGCAGGACGGAACGCAGATCAACCGCAATAACAACTTTCAGACCTTCCCCCAGGCTGTGCTGCTGCTCTTCAGGTAACGTTCGATGGCAAATAGAAGGGGGGGAAAAATACTGCCAATAGATTCTGGTTAAAATCTGGGGGGGGGGGGGGCAGCAATCTCATCTTCCTTCAGAGACGTAATACAACGATTGAATAGGAAGGAACCATTGTCCGAAATTGTGTGAGAACGTACAGATCAATCCAACACGTTTCGGGAGAGTTGCTTCCCCCTTCTTCAGGGCTGTTGGTATGCGCTACCGGAGATGGGTGGAGTCTGGTAGTCCAAGTCGGCATTTGCCATCACAAAAAATTCTGGTACTACCACGGAGTCCATCCATCTCCGTTGGCGCGTACCAGCAGCTCTGAAGAAGGGGGAGGCAACTCCCCTGAAACGTGTTGGATTAATTTGTACTAACGCAACCCTTGGTGGGAGGATACAAACGTTTATTGAAAGTGTGAGAATGTACAGATTGATCCTACGCGTTTCAGGGGAATTGCCTCCCCCCTCTTCAGGGTTGTTGGTATGCGCTAACGGAGATGGGTGGAGTCTGGTAGCTCAAGTCGGAATTTCCATCAAAATATTCTGGCTTCATCTTTACTAATGTAACCCTTGATGATAGAATACAATAGTTTATTGAAAATGTGAGAATGTATAGATCGAACCAACACGTTTCGGGAGAATCGCCTCCTCCTTCTTCAGGGCTGTTGGTACTTGCTAACAGAGATGGGTAGAGTCTGGTAGCTCAAATCTGCATTTGCCATCACATAAATTCTGGTACTACCGCAGAGTCCATCCATCTCCGTTAGCGCGTACCAACAACCCTGAAGAAGGAGACAATTCCCCCGAAATGCGTTGCTTGGTCTGTACTAATGCAACTCTTGGTAAGAGAATACAATCATTTATTGAAAATGTGAGAATGTATAGATCAAGCCAACACGTTTCGGAAGAATTGCCTCCCCTTTCTTCAGGGCTATTGGTATGCGCTACCGGAGATGGGTGGAGTCTGGTAGTCCAAGTCGGAATTGCCATTACAAAAAATTCTGGTACTACCACGGAGTCCATCCATCTCTGTTAGCTCGTACCATCAGCCCTGTAGAAGGGGGAGACAATTCCCCCGAAATGCATTGGATCGATCTGTCTTAATGCAGCTCTTTGTGGGAGAATACAATCGTTTATTGAAAGTGTGAGAATGCATAGATCAAGCCAACACGTTTCGGGAGAATTGCCTCCCTCATCTTCAGGGCTGTTGGTACATGGTAATGGATATGGGTGGAGTCTGGTAGTTCAAGTCGGCTTTTGCCATCACAAAAAATTCTGGTACTACCGCGGAGTCCATCCATCTCCGTTTGCGCGTACCATCAGCCCTGAAGAAGGGGGAGACAATTACCCTGAAATGCGTTGAATGAATCTGTACTAACGCAACCCTTGGTGGGAAAATACAATCGTTTATTGAAAGTGTGAGAACGTACAGATTGATCCTACGCGTTTCAGGAAAATTGCCTCCCCCCTCTTCAGGGCTGTTGGTATGCGCTAACAGAGATGGGTGGAGTCTGGTAGTTCAAGTCGGCCTTTGCCATCACAAAAATTCTGGTACTATCACAGAGTCCATCCATCTCTGTTAGCTCGTACCATCAGCCCTGAAGAAGAGGGAGGCAATTCCCCCGAAATGCGTTGGATCGATCTGTACTAATGCAACTCTTGGTGGGAGAATACAATCGTTTATTGAAAGTGTGAGAATGTACAGATCGAGCCAACACGTTTTGGGAGACTTGCCTCCCCCTTCTTCAGGGCTGTTGGTACACGCTAATGGAGATGGGTGGAGTCTGGTAGTTCAAGTCGGAATTTGCCATCACAAAAATTATGGGGTTTGATCTGTACTAATGTAACCCTTGATGATAGAATACAAATCGATTATTGAAAGTGTGAGAATGTACAGATCGAGCCAACACGTTTCAGGAGAATGGCCTCCTCCTTCTTCAGGGCTGTTGGTACACGCTACTGGAGATGGGTGGAGTCTGGTAGCTCAAATCGGCATTTGCCATCACAAAAATTCTGGTACTACCGTGGAGTCCATCCAACTCAGTTAGTGCGTACCAGCAACCCTGAAGAAGGGGGAGGCAATTCCCCTGGAACGCGTTGGATTAATCTATACTGACGCAACCCTTGGTGGGAGAATACAATCGTTTATTGAAGGTGTGAGAACGTACAGATTGATCCTGCGCGTTTCAGGAAAATTCCCTCCCCCCTCTTCAGGGCTGTTGGTATGCGCTAACGGAGATGGGTGGATTATGGTAGTTCAAGTCGGCCTTTGCCATCACAAAAATTCTGGTAGCTCGTACCATCAGCCCTGAAGAAGAGGGAGGCAATTCCCCCGAAATGCGTTGGGTCGATCTGTACTAATGCAACTCTTGGTGGGAGAATACAATCGTTTATTGAACGTGTGTGAGAATGTACAGATTGAGCCAATGCATTTTGGGGAACTTGCCTCCCCCTTCTTCAGGGCTATGGTACACGCTAATGGAGATGGGTGGAGTCTGGTAGTTCAAGTCGGCCTTTGCCATCACAAAAAGTTTCTTGTACTACCGCGGAGTCCATCCATCTCTGTTAACTCGTACCATCAGCCCTGAAGAAGAGGGAGGCAATTCCCCTGAAACGTGTTGGATTAATCTGTACTAACGCAACCCTTGGTGGGAGAATACAATCGTTTATTAAAATTGTGAGAATGTATAGATCGAGCCAACACGTTTTGGGAGAATTGCCTCCTTCTTCTTCAGGGCTGTTGGTACTCACAGATGGACTCCACGACAGTACAAGTCAACATTTGCCATCACAAAAAATTCTGGTGCATACCGACAACCCTTAAGAAGGCGGAGACACCTGGCTGGAGGATGTCCAGCATCATCTAGCCCACTCCTCCCCAGCCTAACTGTCCCTGTCCCCACCCCTTTCATTCATTGGCTTTCGGGTTGGATCATGGAGGCTCAGCTTCACATGTGGGCATTGCCTATGCAAATGGAGGGGGGGGGGAGTTAAAGGCCAGCAACGTCGGATGGAATATGTCATTCCCCGCCTACTTCTGTCTTAGGTGCGCCACAGGGGAGGCCTGGCAGGAGATAATGTTGGCCAGCTTGCCCGGCAAGAGATGCGACAGCGACTCTGACTTTGCCCCGGAGGAAGAGTTCACCTGCGGCAGCAACTTTGCCATCGTCTATTTCATCAGCTTCTTCATGCTCTGCGCCTTTCTGGTGAGTAGAGAAGAAAAGGTCACCAGGTATTATATCATTCCTATATATACAAAATCCAATACAGGAAAAAAAAAAAAAAACAAGAAAAAAAGTTTTTGTATGAAAGAAAATTATATTTGAAATGCTACAATTTTGGCCATATTCAATATATTTCAAAATATATTTCAATATATATAATGTTGAAATGCGTTTTTATTACAAATTATATGAAAAATATTTTTAAAAATACGTATCAAATATACTGTATGTCTTTAAAAATACAAATCTATATTTTTGGAATGCCTTTACAAATAAATGTTAAAATTACTTTTTTATATGTTAAAAAAAAATATGAAGAGTATATTTTAAAAATATATATTTTTAAAAATATTTTTCATATATTTTGTAATATATAAAAAACACTTTTCAACATGCAGAATATATATTTATTTGCAGTATATATATATATCATTTTTAGACTTTTCAGATTTTTTTTTTACATATAAAAAAGTCATTTTAACGTATATTTTTACATATATTTGTAAATGCATTGCAAAAATATATATATACACACACACACAAACATATATATATATATATATAAAATAGATTTTTTTGATTTTTTTTACATATAAAAAAGTAATTTTAACGTATATTTTTACATATATTTGTAAATGCATTGCAAAAATATATATATACACACACACACACACACACACACACACAAACATATATATATATATATATATATAAAATAGATTTTTTTGATTTTTTTTTACATATAAAAAAGTAATTTTAACGTATATTTTTACATATATTTGTAAATGCATTGCAAAAAATGTAGATTTGTATTTTTAAAGACGTACAGTATATTTGAAAATGTATTTTTAAAAGCATTTTTCATATATTTTGCAATATTTAAAAAAAGGCTTTTTAATATGCAGTGTATGTATATATATATATATATATATATATATATATTAGATTTTTTTACATATAAAAAAGTCATTTTAACGTATATTTTTACATATATTTGTAAATGCATTCCAAACATGTAGATTTGTATTTTTAAAGACATACAGTATATTTGAAAATGTATGTCTAAAAATATTTTTCAGATATTTTGTAATAAAAACGCATTTCAGCACATGACAGATATATATATATATTGAATACGTCCAAATCTGTAGTATTTCAAATATATGTCAATATATATGAGAATATATTTTTAAATATATATATCAAATATATTTTTCTTCCATGTGGGTATCTATAGGAATTTTGGAATTAAAGCGGAACTTATCTGAGCACCACAAACTGAAAATGCAGTTTGATTTTTTTTTAATATTTACAGCAACTCCCCCCATCCATCCCTCCATTATTCCATCCATGTCTCCATGCTTTAGTTTGCTGAGAAATCATTTTTAAAAACTCCCCCCTAGCATTTGCAGCCACGGCCATCTTGAGTAAGGGCAGACGATTCATGTAGCATTTAATTCCTGGAATCCATCTGCCCTTAGCTCAGGCATGCAGGTGGGGAAGGGGGGGGGGGGGTTGTGCTTAGCTGAGAAAGCCCCTCCACCCATGAAGACTCCTGGAATGTTTGACATTATTTTGGCCTAGGCCAGAAACCAGGAAGTAACTGAGGAAATGTAATATCTATCTGTTTACTAATGATAGCCGCACAAGGAATAAAATTAGTTAGTGTGGACTGGTGGATTGAGAGAGTTTAGTTCCATTTTAATAGAAGTAGTATTTTTCCGTTGGAGTTGGTATCCAGAACCACTATTATATATATATATACTGTGCTGTATATAGTTGATTGTTTGCTTCAGTTGCACTACAAGGGACTGAAATGCTCCAGGAAAGCTCTCTTTGTGCTGAGCTAATCAAAATGACCAGATCACAGTGGCAAGTCAAATGGCTTTGTGTGCCATTGAGAAGGTCATTAGCTACACTTGATGGAGTCATTTTTTAGGAGGGGGGGAGGGAGGGGGGAGGCGATCCTTATTGCCAACTCGGTTATTTTGGTTTTAAATTTTTTTTTTCTGAAATGTTGGCGTTTTAATAAAATATAGATCAATATTACAGAAATTCTAAATATAACATTTGTTTATAAATACTGTATAATGTCATCTAACGCAAGGGGTAGGCAGGGGATGGCCCTGGGCACTGTGGTATCATGTGGGGGGGGGGGGGGGGGCACCATGAGGAGATTTGGGGGTGAGGGGAAATGTGTTGGGTGGGGGAATTTGAGGAGCAGCAGGGGGTCAGAATTGTTCTAGGAGGGGAAATTTGGGGGGAGGGGTGCTAGTAAGGGTGATTTGGGGGGATTTGTGCTAGGATGGGGGATTGGGGAGGGGAATTTGTGCTGGGAGGGGGAATTGGAGGGGGAGAAGATTTGTGCTTGGAGGATTTGAGCTGGGAGGGATAGGGGGCACAGATTTGTTCTGGGAGGGGGGATTTGTGTTTGGAGGGGAAATCTGAGGGGTAGAGGATTTGTACTGGGGGGGTTTCAGAATGTGGGGGGGGGGGGGGATTTGTGCTCGGAAGAGAAATCTGAGGGATAGAGGATTTGTGCTGGGATGATCTGAGCTGGATGGATGGGGGGAGAAAGATTTGTACTGGGAGGGGGAATTTGGAGTGGGGGGGGGGATTTGTGCTCAGAGGGGAAATCTGAGGGGTAGAGGATCTGTGCTGGGAGGATTTGAGCTGGAAGGGATGGGGGGCAAAGATTTGTTCTGGGAGGGGGGGATTTAGAGTAGGGAGGGATTTGTGTTCAGAGGGGACATCTGAGGGGTAGAGGATTTGTGCTGGGGAGGTGTGGATTTGGAATGTTGGGGGGGGAGAATTTGTGAAAGGAGGAGAAATCTGAGGGGTAGAGGATTTGTGCTGGGAGGGGGGATTTAGAGTAGGGGGGATTTGTGCTCGGAGAGGAAATCTGAGGGGGTAGAGGATTTGTACTGGGGGGGATTTGGAATGTAGGGGAGGGATTTGTGCTCGGAGGAGAAATATGAGGGGATGGGGGGGCAAAGATTTGTGCTGGGAGGGGGCATTTGGAGTGGGGGGTGGGATTTGTGCTCAGAGGGGAAATCTGAGGGGTAGAGGATTTGTGCTTGGATGGGATTTGGAGTGGGGGGGATTTGTGCTCGGAGGAGAAATTTGAAGGGTAGAGGATTGGTGCTGGGAGGGGGGATTTGTAGTGGGGGGGGGGAGATTTGTGCTTGGAGGGGAAATCTGAAGGGTAGAGGATTTGTGCTGGAAGGGGGGATTTGTAGTTGGGGGGGGGGGGGATTTGTGCTTGGAGGAGAAATCTGAAGGGTAGAGGATTTGTGCTGGAAGGGGGGATTTGTAGTGGGGGGGGGGATTTGTGCTTGGAGGAGAAATCTGAAGGGTAGAGGATTTGTGCTGGGAGGAGGGGGGGGGGGGTTTGTAGTGGGGGGGGATTTATGCTCAGAGGGGAAATCTGAGGGGTAGAGGATTTGTGTTAGGAAGATTTGGGGGGGTGCATAGATTTTTACTGAGAGGGGGATTTCAAAGGGGCCAGAGGGCGGAGCATCCCTGCCATACTGAGCCATTCGCTGCACGTACTCTGCACTCCTCCTTCATGCGTCGGTGTCATTGGTGTCATTTCTATTTTGTTTTTCTCTTTCAGATTATTAACCTGTTTGTGGCCGTCATTATGGATAATTTCGATTACCTGACCAGGGATTGGTCGATTCTCGGCCCCCATCATTTGGATGAGTTTAAAAGGATCTGGTCTGAATATGACCCGGAGGCCAAGTGAGTAGATCAGAAAAAAAAAAAAAAAGGTGTGATTGGACTTTTCTCCGCCCCCTCCTTTAATTTTATCTAGTGGGTGGAGCCCACTGGGCCCCTCCCACAGCTCTGCTTTCTCTCCCTTGGCAGGGTGACTGGTCTTGTCTCCACCCCCTCCTGTAGGTTTCTGTTGTGGGTGGAGCCTGCAGGACCCCTCCCACAGCTCTGCTCCCTCTCCTTGTGCAGGGAGACTGGTCTTGACTCCACCCCCCGCCGTACGTTTCTGTGGTGGGTGGAGCCTGCGACCGATGCGATTCGCTAATTGAAATCGCATCTAA